TTCTTGGACATTAAACAATACCTTTACAAAACAACATTTTGATGACTTGAATACAAATGAATCAGAAACATACGGATTGAATTTTCCTTGACGTGTAAGTGGGTTTGAATAGAGAGGAAAAAAGTCATTGGCAAAATTCAATTCGAGTATTGCCAAACCTAAAATGTCTGAAAACATAGGAGTTTTTTTAAAAGACATTCTAATGATCTCAAAAATACTATCTTTGTTTTTCCATCTCTAATTTATTCTATAAACCCAAGTTTAAAAAAAGAATTAATTTACTTGGAAGGTTTAAATTATATAAGCATCAAACAATGGAAAATTATAGTATTTAGGTTGAAAACTCCATCTTAAAAGCTAGATTAAACTTCTGTGTAATAAACCCTGTGTGCATATATGTGTAAAGGGTAATAATTACCATAGATTTAATAACCATTTTAATAAAGTCCTAATAAGTCATATAATTAATATATATTTTATAACTTAGGGAATTGAAAATCTAATAATAAATTATAAGACTGACCTAAGCCTAATTTGTTATTAAAAGAGAGTACATATTCTCTCATGGTTGTTTGTTAATCACTATGAGAGCGCTTGAGAACTTGGAAACTGATTTTGCACAATTGGATACAACCACTTGTCTGGAATCTCTATATTTGTCCATTAAAAAGCAGCAAATATTTTTGTTAGTTTGTTTACTTGCTCACGTTTGCTTTATTTTGCTGAAACAGACCTATGAAACTCAGAGAATCATCTATTCTGCATGAAAAGAAAAAAAAAAATCAATATAATATTCTTAAACTCTCCTGCCAAATCCATGGCAGTTCATTTGTCAGATTTCTAAAAAGAATATTTCACAGACTGACGTATTTTCCACAGGTCCTCTGAGAAATCATAATGCTACTTTTGATTTCAACAGTCTTTTGATTTCCAAAATATATTTAGGCCTCTGTGATTTTTTTCTTTGCAGGAGCAGCATAAACAAAATTTAATAATATTCATAGCTGACTTTCTCCTCACCTTATGATTGAAACTATTTTAACTACTGCACTGTGGTTTGCGGTACAAAATTCTTCTCCTGTGTTACACCAAACTGGTTTGGTTAATAATCACCCAAAATTTACAGTTTGGAATGTCTTTTTAAGAGTAACATGTTCAGTGTCAGGTGGTCTAAAAGAGCCTTTTAAATCACAAACTCATTCAATGACCATTCAAGGCATGTTTTTAATGCCTACAACTTGCATTGTACCAAGCACCGAGGGTGTGATTGTGAACAAGAAATACACATCCCATGACCTCATGAAACTGATATTCATTCCAACATGTAATCACGACGGTGTTGCTGTGATTGATTAAAGCAGCAAGTCTAGCTCTTTTATGAAGTGTGAGCAAGCTACAAGAATATATTATACATAAGTTAAATTTCATGTTCCTTCCATGATTTGTCTCCAAATCACTTCCCTAATAGCATCTTGCAATCATATTTACACATGAAAGTTGTTCTAACCAACGTGACTATTGACTTTTTCCAGAATATACCATGCCATTTTCCCATTCTATGTATTTACTCCCATTGTTTTCTCATTCAGAAATGAATTCTCTCCTCCTGGTCTCACCACCATTTCATTTACCCCCATAACTCCCTCATCTCCCTCCCCATCTCCATTTCTTGAAATCTTACCCAGCTGACCTAGTTTAAAAGCCACCTGAACCATGGTCCTTCTGTCCCTGTCCCTTTTGGACTCAACCATCTCTTTCCTGTTTTCTTTTAGCGTGTTGATTACATCACTATTTTTAGCATTTATGGTGCTGTATTCTTTCTAAGATTAGCTACATATGTCTGCTCCCAAGTTATATTGTCCTTTAACATTTTGTCTGTCATGTTACAGGCACTCAATAATTTTATGTTGAATAAATAAATAAATAAATAAATAAATGAATAATAGTAAACAAATGACTTTGAAAGCAGACTGTTCTGAGTATCATTCTTTCATAACTTCTAGTTACTTTTGCTAAGAAGTAAATATATTCAGAATCTATCATTGCAAATAAAAGATGGTTTGTCTGCTCCATTTGAAGCAATATCACAATATTATGTTGAGAACATCAGCAGTAGCAATGAATGGAACAGTAATAAGTGGAAGCATCTGGTTATCCATATTTATAGAGAAATATCACATGTATATTCTCCATGAGGTTGAAGTTAATAAAATTAAGGTAGTGGGAGGGTCACTTGCTTTCCTACGGCCATATATGCTCTGCCTCTGGTTAAAATCTGTTTTAAGTATTGTTTAAATACAAGAAGCCTAGCACATTTAACCATTTTAATATTTTCATATTAAAGAGACAAAGAAAAGCAACAAAATGCTGTATGAATCAAACCTAACTCTTAAACAGAGAATTTGGAAACCTTTGAAAAAAGTGAAATGTTTATTTATTTTAGGGTCTTAAAAATGCCATAAAAAATACAAAAGTAATTTAAAGTACATTTTCCCTTAAATATATAAGAGAAATAAATTAAAGGAAGAGAGAAATTCAAAATGTAAAGTAGTTCTGATGGAGAAAAAGATAAATTGAAAGCAGATAGAAGCTAAATTACATAAATAGTAAAGGAAAGCAAATCAGTATAAGAGGAGTGAAAAAACAAAAGAGAAATTTCAGAATTTTCGAGTGGGTGGGGGGAGGGAATTAAAAGGAAACAGGCTGATCATATTTCACAGATCTCTTGAGTTGTTTAGTTAGACATTTCAAGCTTATCCCCAAGGAAAAGACTGGGAGAAGCACATACCACTAATTTAATTTTTTTTGTTTGGGCAGCATACCAGGGAAGAAACAACTGGCTCACCCCCACACTGCTGATTTCCCAGTCACATTTCTGACCATAAATGTACAGTAGTTTAACACTGTAAGAATTTTTGGAAGATTATTTAAATGTGTGTTTTTCTCAGTCCACATTTATAATGCTTGAATACTGAAAATCCTTAACACTAATCTCAAAACCATAATTGAAAAATAACCTATAATTCAAAATATTTAAGTTGTTTATTAAAAAATTCAGCATTGTAATTAAAATCTATGGAAAGTCTGGGTGAGGGGCTTCTGAAGCTTGTCTATAACACTTTCAGCAAAAACATTCTGTTTCTCAGTCAAGATCTGAGGCACATGAAACCTTCACTAGACTAACTGCAGAATATACTTAATTTACGGCGGTCAACCCCATTCCATATACAAAACCTTGGAATGACAACATTGGTTATGGTGTTATTCTTAGGCTGTGAATTTGCTTATAGGTAAAACAATGCCGTGTAAAGTCAAGTCCAATTGCTCACAGTGATAAACCCCCTTGAAAAAGACCCAAGACAGACACACCTTATGCTTAACTGTAGTTCACTAAACCAGGCAAGGAGAAATGAGTGAGACAACTACAACTAGTGTATCTATTGTGTGATCCTGTGAAGAACTAAAGGCAGTAAAACTTAATAAGGCGTGTTCTCTAGTTATAAACCTTTTGAAAACTACCCTCCCTAGGGCAGGAACACAATGTAAGCCCACTTGGTATACTTCTGAATATTTAAAAATTACTAATCAAGCTAACACACCATTAAATAAATTATGTTTTACCCGCCTGCTATGACAAGTATCATTTTAAATAACCTGGGAGTTCAGATTTGGATTGAAAATTTTGGACTCTTTGACTGATCAAAGACCAACAACGCTCTGAATAAATTGACATTGGCTCCCCTCACCTCTGGATCGAATGTGCCAAGGCCCCTCTCACCACAGTCTGCAAATTCTTTTCAGTTTGTCTGAAATGGCTACCCTTCCACAACTTCTTACCCTAATCACATCTTCCTAATCTCTAAAATTGCAGCTTGAATTCTCTCCCTGTTGAATACTCATAAGTCCATCAGGCTCCTCTCGGTGTGTAGTGACACATTCGACAGTATTATGATGTGGTTACTACCTAGTGTCCCATCAAGCCATCTCCACATTAGCTCACCGCTTCATCTCCAGCATCTAGCCAAGCACAGGCACATAGCTGCTGCTCCATGGATACTCGTGAGCATAAGAATAACTTCTGGGGTTTCTTAAAAATAAAGATTTCTGCCCAGTGGGGCATGGTCAGTGGTTGAGCATTGACCCAGCATCCAGGCGATCGGGGTTCGATTCCCGGTCAGGGCACATGCCTGGGTTGCGGGCTCGATCCCCAGTCGGGGGCGTGCAGGAGGCAGCCGATCAGTGACTCTCTCATCATTGATGTTTCCATCTCTTTCCCCCTCTCCCTTCCTCTCTCTGAAATCAATAAAGATATATTAAAAGAAAAAGGTTTTTTTTAAAAAAATGAAGATTTCCTACAGACTACTCCCATAAGTGATTCTGGAGCTGTTGCCTGTGACCAAATATGTTAAGACCTAATTATTTTCTGAGTGTTTTGTGTGTGACTCCTTTGTTCCATCCCCAACTTCCCTTCCTCCTTGCATTATTATAGTAGCTCTTTTGTGTGTTTCCCTAGCATCTTTTAAATATACATTTCTTTGTCCTTTTTAGTCAGATTTTGGGATATAATCTATACATGGTGATACTCACTCTTAATGTCCTGTTCATGTCTACAAATTATATAGTTTTGTAACCACCACCACAATCAAGAGCAAGATCTATAGTACTTTGTATATACTTTAATTTTGGTGTTGTTAGGTTAGATTATTTCTGTTTGTTTGCATACGGGTTTTCATACAGGATTAAAAACTCCTTGAGAGCAAGAACAGTACCTACTTCTTTATCTCTCCACCCCTACTACAGAGCTTGAAAATAAATGTATGTTGAGTAAATGTGTTCATAAACCAGTTAACTAATTCATATAGTAGTGAGCTATCCTATGGAATATGCTACCTTGCACGTTGGAAGTATAAAGCACATATTAGTTAAACTGAACAAAAAGCTGTAACTCTCAATGTGTCAAAACCAGCACCACAAAAAAATACATGAAATTCAGTGCTTACCATCTCCTGTTTCTGCACAGAGCTGTAAGCCCAAATTGTTCTGTGGATTAATCACCCAATGATTGCTGGTCACAGTGATATCAAAGACAAGCCAACCCACATCTAAAGCCTGGGCCTTTCTTGTGTCTAACAAAAACAGATCTGCATCCCTGAGGAGAAAAAGAACAACAATAAAAAAAAAGTTAAAGGTTTGAACAAAGACCATCATTTCCTATACTTAAGTGAAAACATTACCAAAGCACTTTTTAAAATAACAGGAGTTAATTAAAGAACAAGGGAAACAAGAGACTCAAGTGATGGGTAATAAGATACAGAACCTTTTTTATTGCTCGACTCCTAACCCAAACCTGGTGCAGATTAGTAATATCTGAAAGTAATTTTCATTTTCCTGCTCTTCATTGGCCTTTACAAACTAACTCAGGGAGCTTGATTTGGTCCCTGATAATCAGTGTTCCCCGAAACCACTATCTGTAAGTAGCTCTCACTGGCAAGTTCACAGGCAAGGATTAAACTGAGTAGAGACAGGAGTGAAAGTAGCTCCTCCGGTTTGGATGAATGTGGGTTCCCAAAGGAACAGAGCACAGAGACAGCTCTCCATTTGTTTCTATTTTCATTATATGTTTTTCCATTTTGTTCTACATATTTTTATTTCATTTTCCATTTTTATATAAATTATATTATGGATACCCAAGGTCTAAGAGAGGGTCAGAGAGTGCGCTAGTTGATTCAGGGGTAAATTCCATTGATTGAGGGGGGTAAAAAATCTACCCTGACTTTCTTTAACGTCTTCTGCAAGCCTAAGTCCCCGGGGGACAGTAATAGCTATGAGTATGAACCTGAATGTTTTAGAAAAAACTCCACAATGTTACTGTTATTAGCATTTATCAATCTTAACTTTAGCTTTAAGTTTACAAATGTATGAATACTTGTTGAATTATGATTATTTTATTTATTATTTTCTTACTATAGGCAGTCTCTGAGCTAAATGACACATATTTCTGACATTTAATCTTTACAGCAGCTCTTTTATATTGATGAAAATGAAGCTCAGATAGACTAATGGTAAAATATTGGAACTTCTTCAAAGCAATATAGAAATACACTATTATGCATTTTATGACCTTTTTTACTGTGCTGATTCTGTTAAAGAGCTTATTATTTATATGAGGAAAATCAGAACTATGTCATAATAAGCTACATTAAATATTGGTTTACTACACTGACCATCTATCTGCATCATAGAAATCATTTCAAAAGTGGCTTATGAAATGGAAAAAGCAAATTTTGAATAAAATTAAATCATGCACATTTTATCTTTAGATAAAATGCTCTATAGTTAAAAATTAAACTATTTTTAATAGAAGTGAAGAATCTCAGTCAATATTTTCAAAGCTACACCTTCATTTCTTTATTTCAACTTGATTTACGCCCTTCCTCCATTAACCTAGAGAAGATAAAATAAATGTATTATGATCGATTAAATTGTCAGCTAAACTACTCTGAACTATGGAACTTTCAATTTCCTTCACAATTTTAATCATAGCTCTTCCCAAAGGAGGGTTGCACTTTTTGTATCCAAAATGTGACTCAGTTTGAGATACCGCAGACATAGGACAAGCATATACCACAAGGCAATGAAAAGTTGCAAACAGCTCTCACTTGAATTTTAAGAACCCATGAAAATTCACAGAATAATAGAATGTCAGATTCCCCCTCTTCGTCCTAACTTAGAAAACCCACCAAATAAACAAGCTCCAAGAAAAGCTTATCATTATAATTTTGAGATATTTAGTAAATATCTTTGAGACTATAATCTTAGAATATTAATTTAATCAAACTATTAGCTTCTTAAACAAAAGAACCATCCTGTATCTTGGGAAATACCTAAGTGCTACCCTATTTCAAGCCTGTTTCATTTGAAACATGGGGAAAATATTCTAATAAATCCCGCAAAGCTTATAATAACATCTATTGGCAAGATATAAGTAAACCCTTGAAAAACAAAACAGAACAAAGAGGTAAATTTTGATAATAGTTTCAACTAGTTAACACATTTCATTAGGTAGTATTTTCTATTATTTTTAAATTGTTCTATTTTTCTAGAAAAAATGATCCCAAAACTAATCCATGTTCAAGTCTCAAAACTGTCAAGTATGTCTATGGGGAAAATGATTCCAGTTTTAATAGATATATTTAGAAAAGACACTAACCGAAGGATTAAAGGTAGCCCTAAATATATGAATTTCAGTGATGCAAATCCCAATTCATTGGAAGATAAATCTAGGCAAAGAGTATGCTTTGAAAAATTCATATATTTCTAATTCACCTCTGAAAAGTTATGAAGGGTCAATTGCTTTCATGGTTTCCTATTCTTGACCGAAGTTACACTATTTTTTACCTTAAAAATTTTTTATTTTTGATAACATGTATTCTTTAATTTCTCCTTTCTTATATAAGAAGCCCTTCTGATTTACCTAAAGACAAGAGAATATGCTCTGGGACAACCAAATCTATTTTTAATAAGCACAATGGTAATAATTCTATAATTTTCACTCATATAGAAACTTGCATACAGCATCTTAAAAATAAATCTTCACCCATTCCATAGATGTTTTTCCTTCTGAAGTATAAAATTACTCCACTAAGGAATATCACTCATCTCACTGGAAACAGTAGAATATACTAAATATTTCCTATGAACAATATAAAGTAAACTTGTTAAAGTTGCCCTGTCTTACCATTTTTACCTGACTTTTTTAAAGAGAGGGGAGGGAGGTTGAGGGATGGGTAAAAAAGCGAAGGGATTAAGAAGTACAAATTGATTGTTACATAATAGTCATGGGGATGTAAAGTATAGCATAGGGAATATAGTCAATAATATTTTAATAATTATGTATGGTGCCAGATGGGTACAAGATTTATCAGGATGATCACTTGGAAAGTTATATGTCTAATCACTGGCGTGTACACCTGAAACTAACATAATAATGTACATCAACTGTAATTGAAAATAAAAAAATAATAAAAGACAATAATAATAATAAAATAAAAAATAAAATTAGGGTAAAATAAGAAAAAGAAAAACTATTAATTCATTTAAAAGGAATGCAGTAGAGAGAAAATATATATGTAGAAAAATATATTCACTTACAGCAAAAATAAACCCATAATATAATTTCTTTATATTTTGTGCAATGATAATAATAAAATTAAAGCCTGCATTCTAGTCAACAAAAAAAGCCCATTTACATGGATGTGTTAAGCAAATATTTCATTACTTTCCCAAGGCTGCCTTAACAAAGTGTCACAGATTGGTTGGGTTAAGCAACAGAAATTTATTGTCTCAGCTCTGGAGGCTAGAAGTCCAAAATCAAGGTGTTGGCATGGTTGGTTGCTTTGAGGACTCTGAGGGAATGATCAGTTCCAGGCCTCTCTCTTTGGCTTATATTCGGCTGTCTTCTCCCTGTGTCTTCATATCATCTTCCCTCTATGTGTGTGTCTCTGTGTCCAAGTTTTCCCTTTTTCTAAGGGAAAATAGTTTGTGCTCCAAACCTTAACACCATCACCACTTGCAAAAGCAGGAGCCTTACATAAACTGTTTAACCCGATTCCACAATTGTAGAAAAGCCAAATCACTGTAATAAAGCCTTTTCATCCATAATCGCTCTATCTTTCTCATCAAACACTGACCCACAAGCTCCCTGGAATGCGTTGTATTGCGTCCTCCAAAAAGATATGTGGAAGTCCTAATTTCTGTGAATGAGATCTTGTTTGGAAATAGGGTCTTTACAGTTGTAATCAAGTTAAGACAAGGTCATTAGGGCTGCTGTCCTTAGAAGGAGAAGAGGCAGAGAGAGAGAAGCTCACAGTGGGAGACAGCCATATGGACATAAGGCAGAGGTGGTAATTATGCTGACACAGCCAAGGAACTTCTGTGCTTCCTTGAAGATGAAAGAAGCAAAAACGGATTCTCGCTTACAGGTTGTGGAGGGAGTAAGTCCCTACAAGTGCCTTCATTTGGGACTTTGAGCCTCCAGACTGTCTCAGACATAAAGAAGCAAAAAACTGTGGAATTTGAGGTGGTAGGAGAAAACAGAAGCAGGCAGAGGGCCTTTGAGTTAATGCAAGAAACATGAGGACATTTACAGGACACACTTAAATTCATATTTATAAAATAAAACATTTTGCATTGTTTCAACACAAGAAGAAATGTGCATAGACACTACTAAATGGTCCAAAATAAGTATATGCTTTGTTACCTCTCATTACACTATCCTTGTAGTTCACATGTAAAAATTCTTTATAAATTAAATCACTTCTTGGCAAGGGAATTGGATAAACTAACATGCATTGGATTGCCCTTGGACAGAACCCCATTCATCTTTTGCTGAAATCCGTTTTATCAAGGGTACATATATTTTGTGGCACATATATTATCTTGCTTGTTTCTAAATATGATTAGCAAAAAATTTTCATTGGTATCTTATTGCTTGAGCAGAAGGTATAAGACTCATGGATCCTTGAAGAGCCTCATTATAAGTTTACCTTCATAAAGCAAAGAATCATAGTTATAGTTGGAGGTGGTATTTATTTAATTTTAACAATGAATTGCTTGATATTAGAAAAAATAATTAAGACACTTTCCTGAGCTTTTGTTTCTTCTTTAAATGAATATTAAAATAATATCTACCTCATAAGTCTATGGTAGGGATAAGAGGATACAAAATAAAAATGCTATGCAAATTATTATAATTGCAACTTTCTTACCAAAACACATTTATGGCATCTAAAAGTGTATATAATAAGTTGTATGCAGTATGCTTGATGCAAAATTAGGGTCAGAAATGATTTATGCAATTATTACAGTTAAAAGTCTTTAATAATCTATACTTATAAATTTGGGATATAGGAATTCATTCATTTTCTTTAACTTTAGTAACATTTATTGATACATATGATCCATAAAACTTTCTCTCTAAATTCAATAGAAGAAAAAATTAAATTGAAAACTTATCAGAAAGAAGTAAGATTGTTTACATAATAATAAAAGATAAAGAGAAATATTCTTCAGATTGTTATAGTTTTCTATTATATGTATGCATGTTTGTATGCACAAACACATTATATATATGTATATATATATATACAC